GAAGTTGAAATTGTATGATTAGGTGGCGTATACATCCATCACATAATGTCAGTGCCGTCTCGCACAATGTAAGACAGTCGATTAGGAGAGTGCTGGTAGATGATGCGGCATACTTGCCCGCTAGTTAAGCACAGGAGCCGTATTGCGATCGATCGTTAATAACACTTCGGATTATAATCGGATGCCAAGATCGCCACCTGCTGTTTCCATATCGTCGATGTAGCCTAATTCGAGTACCCGGTAGTTATCAACGATGCGGATCGCACGAATTAAAATCTCTCTCGTGTGGTCCGGATATATTAGCTGCGAAGATGGCGGCGCAATTAAATTCCTTGAGCGGTAATACGAACTGGAGCAATAATCCTGAGCAATGATTCATTCCTCTCAGTTTCTTATTGTATCTTCTCAGATTTTTCTTTTTTCTTGCTTCCGTAAATGCGAGCAAACATAAAACACTATAATCTTTTTTGTAAATGACAGCTTGTTCAAAAACTGAGAATATCAAATTAATAAAGTCAATAATATTAAATCGTGTAATTATAATGATTGATATTTCATATTTGATATTTTAAATTAAAAAATTTAATCTTGATTCTACGCTTTTCTAAATCCGGAAGACTTGAAAAAATTCAACTGATAATAAGTGTGCAAAAATGCATTTCTGCATGTTTTCAGCAGAGTTTCAATAAAATTTCTTTAATAATATTTTATTAATAGGAGGATTAATTAGAATCATTTTTTAAATCTTACAAATTTATTAAAGAAACAAATGTGTTAAAATAAATTTTACATAGATATAAATTTGAAGTAAAAATTATTAGCTTTTGCTTTCAAACGTAAGAATAAGTTAACAAAATATAAAGCAAGAAAGATTACGTTCATGTTAAAAAAAAAATTATTTCCGACTTCCGGGATAAAATCACTTGCGGTAATCAACTTCATATTTTTTCGTTTTGCTAATAGAGCGTTAAGTGCTCGGCGAGCACCACGTTGCGTGTACGTTCGGACACACTTCTTGCACACACCGATGTAAGTTACGATATAAGTTAAGTCAAGAAATGTCCGCGGGCGTAGCCTCTATGGGCTAACTCCTAATCTAGCCCCGGAGAGTCAACGCTGCCGCCGGTGGTAGCATAAATCTACCTTAATGATATCACCGCGTAATGCCGGGATGACGCTATCTCGGCCAAGTCGGTGCATGTGAGAACCCACTGACACCTCGGCATCCGGAGTTTCACGAGCAATAGCGCGCAAAGAGAAGATGGTATCGCCGAGGTTTTCTCTCTGGACCTCTTCCTGTCCGTCCTGTCCGGCACGTCATTTAGGTGGAACCACGCAGCGACGAGCGGCGTGAAACGCTGTTCGGGACACGATGGTTACGCCTGCCAACGACCGCGAGTAACTTCTATTCCCCGTGCAGTCTCGTTATTTTTTGACCATGAAGTAAGAAGATTACCAGAAAAAGCTACTATAAATTCATTAATACTCTTATTTTTTCGCGCGACATTATCTCATAAAATAATGCATTCTTGTCGTTTGCGCATTTTCGTGAATTTATTAATCGACAAGATGCATTATAATTGTAATGCTTCATTATTCTATCAATTAATAATTAACAAAATTTTATTCGGAGTTACTCTGTACGTTCGTATGACATCATTGCGTGCAAGTCTCGTCGGAAACTGATATCGCATTAGGAAGACAACGGAGACAAATCAACTAGCATTTTTAGATTTAATATGCTTTTTTGTATCAAAATTAATACCTTGGATGGAGCATTAAAGAGAATTTCGCTTTTAAACGGAAAAACGGCGAACGGTTCTCCGACTATAGGATCTTAGGTGTTAGAAAGAGTCACCGTTAGAATCGCATTAGTATCGCTTGATAGATCCTCGGTATTAGCGCCGCGTCGACCTCCGGGGAAGAGTCCTGTCGAAGAATAGGGAGCAGTTAGATCACGGCATTGTGACCGGCGCGGCGGACCCGCAGGACATTTAAACGGGAATCGGCAGATGTCTTTCTCTCTCGCTCCGTGTCTCTCTCGCTTTCTCACTCGAGACCGGTAAATACCACTAATCACTTCTCGATCCTTTCTAACGTGCCTTGACCCCGTCGCGACAAGAGTTATAGCAGTCGGCTTTATTTGAACTACCGCCATCAGGACCTCGAGCCACGTTCGCACCTGAAAGTCGTGCCAATGCACCCATGAATTTCGTGATTTCGCTTTTCGAAGAACACGGCGGGAAACATTTAATCGGCGTCTCTCGATATCATTCAAATCCAAGAATAGCTAATAAGAGGGAAATAATAAGAAGGTTAATTGAAATAAGAACAAAAGTAATTGATGGTACAACAGTGTATAATTAGTGTAAAGGAAACATATAAAATTTGTAAAAAGTCGAAGACTACAAAACAAGGCTCGCTGTCGACGTACATTTCAGACCACTGTAATTTATCGCAAAAATAAAAAAAGATCTAGATTCATGAGAGTTATCCCCGCGTCACTGATCGATAACTACCGTGTCGAACAATTATTAATCCTTTGCAGTCTCGATTAAAAGGTTATAAAATTTGCTTTCTCTTCCAAACCAAATCGAATTTTACGAAATAATGTACAATAATACATTTCTTGATGTATCCAATAAAAATGTTCAATTTTGTATAAAATGTTGATCTCAATTTTACATGGACGATATACGACTGCGAAGGATTAAGATCCGCAGTATCTTTTCGTGGGTAGGTGTTTACGGCTGATCGCGATTTCGGTCGTCAATCATCTCCTTGTCACTGCTACTCGATCGGCTGCGCGTCTGACTTCGATCTCGACTACGGCTCTGGTGTCTGGACGGCGTCTGGTTGTTGGTATTGTTCTTGTATAAATAAGTCATGTCCTTTCGGAGGTTCTCCACCGGGGAATTTCCCAAGGTGTCCTCTGTGCGTTTTCTGGACGAGCATTTGTTGCACCTGGCTGCAAGAGACCTCGTCCTAGGAAGCGGTGGACTTCCTCTCCCTCCGCTTCTTGTGCTTCTGCTTCTCCTCCTCCTCCTCCTTCCTCTGCCTCTGCCTCGGCCTCTGCCTCTGCCTCTGCCTCTGCCCCTAGCCCTGGTCGTGGCTCTGCCCCTGCCTCTGCCCCTCCTGCGGCCTCGGCGACTTCGTCTTCGCCTTCGCGATACTCCGCGTCCACGTCGTCGCCTCCTTCGCCTCCTCCTGCCTTGCTCCAAGGGCGCTACGGTATGCGCTTTGTACATCATGTCAGGATCCGTATTCAGGCTGTAATAACCACGGTCCCTCTTCAGGATACCGTAGTCCAAGCCGCGTTTCAAGGCAGCATATATCTGCGAAAAGAGCACCCCTTTTATTATGACTAACGAACTTTTTACGATTAATAAACGCTCTTTTTTACTGCGTTTATTAATCTACAATTTCCAGTAAAAATTTTTCAAATAATATAATAAAATCAGAAAATTTTAAAATATCTTTCGAAATTTAAAAAAATAAAACTATCAAATTTTAAACATTAGCGTATTAACAATAATTGTTATATAATAATTACTTCTTTCTGATGAGAATAGGAAATTAATATTGTTAGGAGAAGTATCATAAAATAATATCCGTAAAAAAACGCTTTTCGTGCAAAAAAATGAATAATATTGAAAAATATTTTTGATAAACTGGTAATTATTAAGTACCTGCTTTTGTATGTTGGCGTCCGACCCCGTATATTGGGATTTAATATAACTCATGATTTCCTTCGACGTGGAACCACGAATTTCCCGCAGATTGCGAATGGCGGAGGCCACCAAGGCCGACATTTTTGGCTTCGTCATATTTCACCTTTTCTCGCCTCTTCTATCCTTCGAAAATATTCCGAGATGGCAATGCCGTTATGTGTCGTCTCATGAGCAGCTCTCGTCAGATATTTAGAGACCGGATGCGAGGAGCTCGGAGAGATCGAAGGCAAGAAGATCGTCGTCGACGTTAATTTCAGCGATCCACTTATCATCTGGCACAATCCGTGATGATCCGGACGATTTCTAAATATTTGCGATGGCTCCTTTGCGACTTCCCGAAATGTGCGACGACGCTAAGATAACTCGGACTCGGTGAACGCTTATACTTGGAGACGGCACATTTAAGCTGGTGCGCTTAAATAATCACTAAGAAGATTTAATAACCGATAAAAATCGGTCGTATCGTGGTGCCGAATATGATTTTGGGAAGAGAGGATGGAATGTGTTGCTCGTCAATGGCCTGTCCGGAGATAACTGAGCTGTTGTTATTGATGCGCTATTTTGTCCGACGCGCGTTGCTAGGAAGAAGCCACGGAATCTAGATTCAGATCGCTCAAAAAGTGAAGATCTGTAGGTGATTCCGAAATTTTTTTCAAATCGCAATCGAATATATGAGACGTTATGAAAATAATTCGTAGCATAAATTCCATGTTTAGAGAGATTAATATTAGCATAAGAAAAGTGGATATTATGCATGAAAACGCATTTTTATTTTCACTTCTTTTCGTAAATTTTATCTATTTTATTGATATATGAAATTATGATAATATGTTAATTCTTACTTTACATAATCCAGTTAGATAAATAATCACAAGATGTATTAATAATATGAGCGTATTATAAAAGTTAAAAATAAATTCAAGCAATAATTTAAAAGAACATATCGATCGTAATAATAAGAGATAAGAAGTCTCGCACGATAAGTTATATGCGACTGTCGACGTTGATCGTTGAATAGCCTCGTTTTTCTTGCTCTTCGTCGCTCATTTCATATTCCTCGGGCGCGCGGTATCCTTTTTTACATTTCCCGCATAATTAGCGTCGTCGTCGCGCGTGCATTGCGATACAGGTATAAGTACTACCGGCCGAGTGAATATCGTGTCACGTAACCGAGATGCACCACTCCCATTGAAAGCGCCTTAATTAATACGCTTGTTTTAACACTCATAACATCCCAGCGCGCATAATTAAGAAAAATAAGCGGCTCGATCGATTATCGGCGATGTGTCGGCCGATGATCCGCACGCGACTCCGTCCGATTGATAGTAGCCGCTCATAATCCCTACCCGAGCATTCATCATCGTGATGAATGTAATATAAGTAATATTAATGACAACAAAAACGTTTGCTGTTGCCGAAAATAAAAAGCGCGGAATCGTGCCTCGCTCGTGGCCGCGTCTCTCGTTCCGTTGAATGCAAATGTGCCTCTCGGTGTATCTTGGAATCGCGGCGGTGAGCGGCGATGCAACATTGTGACTATATAAATCTAATGGAGGTTCGGGGTCATCACGTCGGGGTTTACTCGAACTTTGCATATGAAATTGCGCTACCGTGTATATACTGTACGGTAGCCGGCGGTAATAATACGACGACGCGCGCTTGCAAGGGGTTTCTCTCTTTCTCCGCCCCGACTCGCGACTCGTCTCATTATCCGTCCTTAACGGTGCCGTCGTCGGCAGAAAAGAAACCGCGATTTCAAGTCGCCGCGTGCGCGCGCGCGGAACGCGTGTATCCCCAGACGGAGACGACTTGCCACCTCGGTAATTGGACAGACGTGGGGATGGCCGCGGTTTACAGGAATAACGCGGCAATTTAGCTGGCCGCTTAAGTCGCTACGCGCTCGCTCGCGCCGACGATTTCGTTCGTTAATCAGCACCAGGTGTCGCGAAATACCGCTTCTCCTCGAATGCGCACCTGCTTGTAAATGCCCACGTCTATACTCCAATAATTATTTATCAACGTCTCACTGAGAACGGGGGGCACGACAAGTCGGCGGCGTTCCGAGTTCCGACCGCTCCGGCATGCGGCATTCGGGCGTTTTATTATTCATCGATCGAGCAGCGACGACGCGACGGCGCGCTTAGATCTCCTTATTTCTATCCGCAGTATTTCTTCCTCGCGACGACGCGCGCGCGGCGTTAGAACGATCACGAGTGCCGATGTATTTCCGTAATTAAATTCAATCGACGTGCCGCGCGAGCGTAATCCGCGATATATCATTCGCGACGGCAAAGGCGGTGGCTTTGCTCCGTCGCCAATTGCGTTGTTACCCGCATGTCGTAGATTGAATTTGCTTCGCATCGGTCGCTTCTGGAAGCCAAACTTTGGTTCTGTGATTACATCAGTTCCAATTCCCGTTTCGAAGTAGCGCATCTCGATGCAACAACTCGGATTTCGCGGCGCGTTACACGTATATACCGATGTTACCGATGTCGCGCGAGAAATTGCTTCACCGACTTTTCGTATCGTGAAGGGAGCACCGGCAAAACTGATCCTACAGGAACTCGAGGACAGAACGTGACTTCGTAACATCGCTCGGCGGTACGACGAGCGAACAAACCCGCGCGCTCCGCTCCGAGACTTTGTGTTATCCGCCCCGTCGGGAGTGTCGGGACTCCGACCGGGCGACAGGACCCTAACAAATGTCGCGCGTCAGGATAATTGCGCGCGGAATTCGCCGCTCCTACGAACGTGTGTTGTTCCTAACGCCGCGGGAGGACGACGGACGACGCAACTCGGGCAAGGTTTCTCGTGCCACACGCTCCTGATGCCGACGGAACCGCAGCGGTTCCACGCTTCATGCGTTTATCGTACGAGCGTGTGTGCGCATGCGTGTGTATATGTATGTATATGTACGTGTGCGGAGGAGCCATCACCTCCCTCGCCGCGGGATGTCCGGCCGGACAGAATGTGGCGAACCGAGCGTGACGATTGCCCACCGAGGCATTTTTACACCTACGCTCGCTCTTTCCAGGAATCCATCGATCCCGATCCTTCACACCTCGCGGCGTCTAATCACCGTGACTTTGCCGGCGTACGTTCTTTCTCTAATTGTAAGACAATGCCGGGGCTTCCCGGAGCGCGTATGCGCGTCCGCGATTTTACTCGACGTAGCCGGCTTCTTCTTGCTCGGAAAGTCGTTAGGATGTTGCGAAAGGAACGCGGGACTGTTCGCAAGAAAGCTAAGTTCGTCACAGATCTTGCGCGTTTTACGATTGCAACGGTTTATTATATACGAGGCATACTTCGATGAATCCGTACCGAATTGCAGAATGTTAATTATAATTCTAATCATCTTATCTATTTATCTACATTAAATTATGTCAAGTAGGTCAAATAGTAAGTAATAAAATTTTATCTCTATAAATTATCTAACTGTTTGTGCGACAATTTCTTGTTTTCTCAATCGTCTATAACTCGAGAAATATCAGTACATCGTTGACATTATTTCAATTAAGGAAAAATCGAGACTGGTTATCTATCCTATATCTGTCGTTAAAATGAAAGACACTTTTAATACATCCTGTGTAGAAATTCCAAGATTTTTTTAGCTTAACCGTAGGGTTAATTGCTACTTGTAGAGATCAAAAGACCTAAGGCTGCGACAACGATCTCAGAGGTGTCACGGTTCGAGGACACAGCGCTCGATTGCGCTTCGAAATATACCCGGAGGACGCTTATTAAATGACAGTAGAGTCCGCATGTGGAAAGACACAACCCTCGTGACACCGGTGTCGTTCGGCCGACCAATCGACGTGTCGATCGGCACATTGTGCACCGTACACCGCGATGATTGCGATTGGCCGGTTCGGGCACCTTTCTGCCTTCCGCAACCGACAGTCGCGCATAAGTCGAACGTATTATTCGCTTTGCATACTTGACTGGCGGCGCCCGACGCGGTTCATTATCCATCGTAAACGCGTTTTTTTTTCCACCGCAAATCGCCATTTTGGATTAATTATCGACCGACTGGGTGCGCGTCACATTAGCGTTTTCCCCCGTGGCGCAATATACAAATTATTTGATCGACCAATCATCGAATGCTCGCTCGCAGCGGTAAGTACGATCGCGCGCATGAATATTACGAGCGTAATAAATAATTGGTGTTCTCGGAACGGAAAGATCAAGACGCGTTGACAATTTTATTATCATAATTTGTCTCGCTCGCGAGCATCTATCAGCACGACGGTGTGGCAACCAGATTTTAATTATTACCACGCGGAGATATAATCTTACGCCGCTTATGACGCTCGTGTCGCTTACGCTTTAGAAAGTGTTACCCACAGATACTCATTAGCGACGTAATTTTTCGTACTTGTCAGAAATTGTGGCCATTTCTGTAATAATATAATTCAATGAGAGCATCGCTTTCTCACAGAGAGATTGAGATATTAATTTAATTACAATGATCAGTTCACATTTTTAATCGTATGTTACGCATTTTCTGCATATCTTGGATGATGAAGTATCCTAAATACCGGAATAGCAAAAAATTGCAAGAATTATAATGTTTATAATTGCCGCGAAAGCGTCGCGTAGAAATAGTTTTACAATAATAACAATGAATCTGATTCGTCGTCTTTCATAAAATTATATCTATTCTTTCATCATCGGACTTTTGATGCTCTGGTGTGCTACATTAGGTTTAAGTTTGCATCGCATTGAACACGAAGAGACGGCGGGTCGGGCAAAATAATCTCTCTTTCTTCATGTTCTTTTTCTACTTCTTCCGTTCACTCGCTTATTCTCGCGTGCCGGATTTTCGGTTCTCAATGGGTTCACGGCGGAGGGGTGAATTAACGGTCCAATGAGAACGGGCGCAGTTAATAAACCGGATATATTAAACGATTATATTAACGCAACCGTCGCCGGAGATTAATGCACTCGCGGCTCTCGAACGTCTCACTCCTTTTCGCACACGAGCACCGAGGAAAGGTAGAAGCCGACAAGAAATATGATCTACACAGTGTGGGCACCGTTGCACCGCGGTAGCCTTAAGATAATTACGACCGTATGATTTTTGCGTATCGAAAGGCTATAGTTCGAGTGACAAGTCGGTCGATTCGAAAGCGGCGCGTATTAAAACGAACTTTTTTTAAATATCGTTTTAATCAGGGTGTAACGCATCGCAAAGACAGCTGTGATAAACGTCGTCGAGCTATGAAATTGTTCGAGTCACTATCATAGTAGTGATTATACCGCTAAATGTGTAGATTAATTTAAAAAAAAATAGACTGTATTCAATAATGTAGGATAGTGAACCATTTGAATCAATTAATGATAAACCTTTTAATTAATGATAAAGCTTTTTTAGAATAATTTATTAAAATTTCTTTCTATAATGCTTATTATATTATGCATATAAATATTTCCTAATTATTATTATGCTATGTACATATTAATTATTATTTAACATTCAGCATCATTTACTATTTATGGAATATTTCTAATTACAATATTTCCTCTTAAAAAATAATTTTTATTTTGTTGTGTCAAATTCTTCTATTCTTCAAGTCTTGAGTTTTTATTTTTTTGTGCAAGTAGTTTATATATTGTTTGATTGAAAAGTTGTTTGTAATTCGAAAATGTGACAGTATAGTTTTTCGCGGAAGAAGATATTAAAAGCGATCGAAGAATCTTCTTGTGGAAGAATTTAATGTGAAACCAAGTGTGTACGGAGTAGATATA